TTCCGGTCCAGAGTTCATATGGAGTTTTCGGAACCGATTTGGTTGGAACCCGATTCAGCACGTAGATAGCAGTCTCTAATGCATATCCCCAAAAGGATGTGGGTAATTCCGAGCATATGAGAAGTGATCGGACCATGTCCAATAAGGTCCTATTCCTCCTCTCTGAAACACCGTTAAGTTGAGGTTTGTGTAGCAGGAGGAGATAATTGTGACACTATCCCGTTGACTTTCAAGTAGTCCCTGAATTCGTCAGAGAGATACTCGCCACCTTGATCTGACCGAAGGGCCTTAATTTCTCTCTCTAACTGTTTCTCGACTTCTTGTCTGAACTCTTTGAACCTTTCTAATGATTCAGACTTATGTCTCATTAGGTACACGTAACCATACCGAGAATAATCATCGGTAAATGTAATGAAGTACACGTGTTGGTTATGAGTTCTAATACTCAGGGGACCACATGCATCAGTATGTATAAGGTCAAGTGTGCCTGTACATCTTTCAGGCTTACCGTTAAATGGTCGTTTTGTCATCTTGCCTTGAAGGCAAGGCTCACAAGTGGGAAGATTTTCTACGGTTACAAAATGCAAAGGACCATCCTTTACCAGCCTTGTGATTCGATCAATACCGATATGGCCAAGTCGGTAATGCCATAGGCACGTGGGACTAACTGTATCACGAGTTATTTTCTTGAGGTTTTCAACCGATGTAGTTTTGATTAAGTTAGTGTCTAGAGAAGGACATAGAACATAGAGACCATTCTCCAATTCCCCGCAAGCGATGAATTTATTGTTCCGTTTAACAGTAATCGTATTACTAAAATAAACAGTATATCCATCGGCACCCAGTTTAGAAACATAAATCAAATTTTTTTCTTAAGTTCTGTACATAAAGACAATCATTAAGTACAAGAATTCCTTCTCTGAAAACTAATTCTACGGTTTCTCTTGCCGCAGCTACAACACTTGCAGTCATTCCCAAGAAAAGTGTTACTTCCCCTTCACTCAGCCTTCTACTAACTTTGAACCCCTGCAGTGAGTTACACGCATGAGTTGAAGCCCCGGAGTCAACACACCAGGACACAAAAGTGACTAACAAATTAGTCTCTATGACATAAGTTTCGAAATTACCTTTCTTATATTCCAGGTGGGTGGAACAGTTCCTCTTCCAGTGGTCGGCCTGCTTAATGAAGTGACAGGCATCGAATGCCTTGTTTTTCTTCTGCTTCTTAGGTTTGACAGCTTTCTTCTGGGGCTTCTTTGCCTTCCTCTTTTTCTTGCACGATTTGCTAGCTTCAACAAGCATAGCCACAGGCTCATCCTTTTTGATTAAATCCTCGGTCCTCTACAACATATTGCTGAGTTCTTGGACACTGACATTCAGCTTGTTCATATTGTAGTTCATTATGAACGGATTAAAGGAAGGAGGCAGAGAATTAAGGATGGCATCCACTTGCGTGGCAAGATCTAGACCGGATCCAAGAGCCTCGAGTTCGTTAATGTAGCCCATCATCCGAAGACAATGGTCATGAACTTTCTGCCCCTTGGACATCTGTGCGGTCATGAACAACTTCAAGACCTTTTGCCGAGTAGAACGATTCTGCTCTTCGTACATCGTCTTTAAACTATCCAATATGTCCTTGGCTAGTTCAATCTGAACGAACTGCCTCTGTATTGGATTGTCCAGGGAGGCAATGACATAGCAGCGAACTAGGGACTTTTTATCCTCCCAATCCTGGAATTCCCTTCTTCGGGCCTCAGAAGCCCTGTCACCTGGATGCTCCGGGGTAGGATTTTTAACTACTTTATCCAACTTCTCGGAAGTTAAGACCAGCATAAGGTTTCTGTACCAGTCGGAATAGTTTGGGCCCTTAAGGTTGTTATCGTCAAGCAACTTAGCAAATTGTTCGTTTGCCATTTTCTGATAAAACAACAAAACATTAGTCTACAACCTTAGTTAGATTCATGTTACCTACATAGATATAGCTTTTAATCAATGTTCCATTTCCATTTGTTTATCTCTGAGATTTCCCTTCTATCTCAATGACGGAGACGGCGAAGATGTCTCTGGAAATGTGGGAAATCACATAGGGTGCGTGGTGCCAACTATTTCAGCTGCATAACCCCACCACCTTTCTGTGACGGATCATATCCACTCATCGTATGAGTTTCCCTTTGGCCTCTGTCAGACAAGGTTCAAAATCGTTTTCAGGTAAACTTTTCTGTCCAATGAGTGCTCACCCATCATATTCAGATTACGCCAAGGTACCATGAGAGAGTTCCCATTTTCTAGTGAAGCTCCTCCCACATCGGTCTATGACGCCCCTATCATCTTATGAAACACTATGACAGCCCCAACAACAAATGAATAGTCCAATTTTATGGAGTGTTTCCTCATTACTGAGGGACCCATCATCATGTTAATGACGGAAGGCCTTTAGAGAGTTTATCACATGAATCTCCCTATCACATGCACCCATATTTGCTAAAGGGAACAAAAATTTATGCCCTAGTTAATTTAGGTCAAAGCAAAGTGGCTCCCACTGACTTTCATAAAGTCAGATTTATGGTGGCCCAATTCGGCTAGGGTTTCCTTACGCGCCCCTTTTCAGGGTTGTGGGGCCCACCATGACAAGAAGGGATCATCCAATGACCATAAGGGACACCATGGCAACAATGTGCATTCAGCCATGGTATGCGTAAGAGCCACTAACGAATCATCATGGGCCAAGTGCTTATGGCCTATCGTCGTAGCATATCATACATCCACACATCGCATGATATGGAAGAATTGATCCAATCAATCACATACTGTAAAGCCCATTAATCAGTCCATTTAAAAACCACAACATTAACAAGTAATATCATCTAGGTATATGGCTGAATCGCAGTTAGCAGTTCGGCCCATATAGCTTTTAGGTAAAACTGGGCTTTTGCAGTTTTAACCCCTTAAAACTGGGCTTTAAAGTTTGGGCCGAATTGGTTCTAACAATTAAAAATTGATTTCAGACTTGAAAGTGGGAAATAACAGGACTGAATACAGCCCCTTTCGAACCCTAGATTCGGTCCAAACAGTTTTGTTCCAATCTGGTCCGAAACGGTGCAAAAACAATTTTTAATTCAAGAAACAATTCAATGAAAGATCTGAAATTAAAATTCTAAATTTTTGACAATCAAAAACAGATCTGGATTGTTTGTACAACCTGCAATACAGAGGTTAATAATTAGGGTTGCAGTTTCCCAAACTGCAAAAATGCAGATAGCGAACTCTTCATCTGCAAATCTCCAGCGCCGCCGCCTTCTCAATCAAGAAAATAAAAAAATAGAAATCCTATTTCTATTAATTAATTACATTCTTGATTGAATCCTATACATTCAGTCTAGAAAAAATAAAAAAAATTATTTTATAGACCAGAATGAATAGAAACCGCGAATAACAGGTGCGCAGACATTCTGCGCCAAATCTGCTCTTCGAACTCCATGTACGAACAGTCCATTAAATCTGAAATAAAATAAGAACAGTTCTAAATTAAATTTCAGATTTAATGAAAATTAATTTCAGATCAATCACCCATACAAGAAACAATTTTTTAAAATAAAACTGCAATTTGTGCAATACCCAGATAGAACAGCTTCTACCGAATTCCGCAGGTTCAGATCTGATTTCTTGGTTCAAGTTTCGTACCTGTTGCTCTGATACCACTGAAAGAATGGTAGGGTCCATCGTATGGACGCCAAAAAGGTTGTGGAATGGGTGGGCGAAATTCAAAAATTTCCTACCCTTCTTCCAACTAGGAATCGTATTCCCTGATTTTAGAATCAAGATTCAAGGATCTTACTCGAACCAAACCAGACCAGATCTGAACCTAGATCAAAGGGAAGGGTTATACCTGATACAGAGAGTCAAGATCTCCCAATGTCGGTGTTCACGCCCAAAGAAAGATCCAAGATCTGCTCCCGCTGAAGATGACACAGCGACGGTGGGGAAGAACCAACAGTGTACGTCCTACGTACCGAACTCTTCACAAGAATCCGTTGGAGGCTTAGAGCACCGAACCAATTCAGTCTTTCAACAAAGACTGATCTCAAGAACAAGCTTCTTGATCGTCCCTTCAGAGGAGTTCAAACCAAGCAGTAAGGCGGCGGCGCAAGGAGGAGTTCCTAAGACTGAAAGTGGCGTGGATGCAGATTTCAGCTTAGGAAGATGAGATCCTATCTCAAGCTTGCAGAAGGTTAGTCACTGCAAAACCCTAGGTCAAATTCTTGTGTTTCAAGATTAGGGTTTCCTCCTTTCTTAGTGATTAAGAAACCTCCTAATCCTATTAGGAGTTATCCCAATCCAAATCTGTATTTGGATAGGGGATAATCTTAATCCTATCTGCAGATTAGGTCAACCCACTCCTGATCTTATCAGGAGGTTACCAGATTCAAATCACATTCGAATTTGGTCTCCAAGAGTGGATAGGGTTAAAAACCTAATCCTTTAGCTAACCCTAATCCCAGATACGCCCCCTTAAGTGGGTGATCATATCAGCCCAGGTCGAAATGGGCTTTTAGGCCCAATAAGTAATCAGTGCTCAATAAGTTTCCGAACTACTGCCCAGTTGGGCTTCTTTGTATGGCGTGGGACCCAAGAATTGATCTACACATCAGCCACATGGTTTCAGCCCAGCCTTTGTTACAAGGCCTAGCCGAATTCACTGGAAAGCCCACTAAACCCCTTGAGCCCATCATATGGACTCTATGGGCCCAACACTTACACTAAGTGGTCCCTGGGCCAAGCCATCTTATAAAAACCCAGGGACTGTGGGCAAATGCAAGATTAGCCCATCAGGTATTACCCTAAATGGCCTTACACTTAACCTCTCAGCCCATGATGATCAGACACTGCCCGACAAGAGAGGACTTCTCCCTCGGCAACAAGGAATAGTGTTGCACTCTCTACTCACATGGATCCCGGGAATTAAAACCATTTGCAAACATTTTAAAACCGTATATGTATATATATATATATATATATCATATATATAAAATTTCCAAAACAAAATTCCAACAATTGAAATCAATTGTCGGCAGTTTGGTTTCCATTGGAGAGAGTGCATCCCTGATCATTACCTTTGTCCGTCAAAGGGGCTGATCCTGTCACTATGATCACCCACTCAGATGAATTCTTAGACTGTCCCAACATTCCCAGGTTTTGACCCCCGCTAAGGATCTCACTGATTGACATATCAAAGACAGCCCAATTTGACACCTAGTGCAATATCATAATCGAGTCTAGGGGTTAAGCGTAATTTTCCAGTTTTGCCCATCAATCTCCAAGGTCCAGGGCAATACCGGAAATCTGGTCTGGTTCAAGGATTGAAATAATCCTACACTGCGTGTGCCTTAGGTCTCACCCTGGTGGCTGAGACAAGCCACCCCAACACTTGGCAGCACACCAGTGTCAACCTTGGTAGGATAAATCTCCCCAGACTTATCCAATGGTTGTGATTGTTCTAAACTAACACGAGTCTCATTAAGTGTCCAGTTTAAGGGTCTTACACAGAAATATACCATACAACATGAATCAAACATGTACTTTATTTATTTACACTAAATGTCAAAAATACATCAAAACTGATTGGAGATAAGGGCATACAAAACTATCTAACAACATCATCATCTGAAGGTTAGTATTTGTTAATGACTCGTGGCAATCAATAAAGTGCTTCATCATAGTGGGCTTGCACGTGTTTAGGCACAAGTGGGCCTCACCATGGGTTCAACCCATTGTCCTTCCTAGACTCGCTTCCCAGAGCCAGATTACGAATGTTAGGGTATTCATAGGGAGTCTGCACGAGCTATATATGTCTACACGATGAACATGTTTTGAGGTGCGATGAGAAAATTTTCAAGTGTGATGAACATATTTTGAGGTACGATGAGAAAGCTTTTAGGTGCGATGAACATATTCTATGTTAAGATGATCAAGTTTTTAAGTGCGGTGAACTTGTTTTGAGGTGTGATGAGCAAGTTTTCAAGTGTGATTAACAAGTTCTTAGGGGCGATGAGCGAGTTTTGAGGTGCAATGAACATGTTTTTCAGGTTAGATGAGAAAGTTTTCATGTGCGATGAGAAAGTTATCGGGTGTGATTGAGATGTCTAGAGGTGCAATCGAAAAGTTCTTACGTGCGATGAACATGTTCTAAGATGCGATGAGAAAGTTTTCAAGTGCAATTAACATGTTCTAAGGTACGATGAGCAAGTTTTCAGGTGTGATTAACATATTCTTAGGTGCAATGAGCGAGTTTTGAGGTGCAATGAACATATTCTGAGGTGCGATGAATAGGTTTTCAAGCATGATGAACATATTCTTTGGTGCAATGAGCAAGTTTTCAGGTGCGATGAACATGTTCTGAGGTGTGATGGGCATCTCCTAAGGTACGATGAAAATGTTCTGAGGTGCGATGAGGAAGTTATTAGGTGTGATTAACATTTCTGAGTTGCGATGAACAAGTTTTTAGGAGCAATGAACATGTTCTGAGGAGCGGTGAGAAAGATTTCTGGTGCAACAAACATGTTCTGAGGTGCGATGAGCAAGTTTTTAGGTGCAACGAACATGTTCTGGGGTGCGATAAGCAAGTTTTTTGGTGTGATGAACATGTTCTGAAGTGCGATGAGGAAGATTTCAGGTGCGTTGTACATGTTCTGAGGTGCGATGAACAAGGTTTTTGGTGCGATGAACATGTTCTGAGGTGGAAGGAGAAAGTTTTTAGGTGTTATGAACATGTTCTGAGGTAAGATAAGAAACTTTCCAAGTGCGATGAACATGTTTTGAGCTGCAATGAGGAACTTTTCAAGTAAGAAGAACATGTTTTGAGGTGCGATGAGAAAGTTTTTAGGTGCAATGAACATGTTTTGAGGTGCGCCAAGAAAGTTTTCAGGTGTGATGAACATGTTCTAAGGAGCAAAGAGCAACTTTTCAAGTGAGATGAACATGTTATAAGGTGCGATGAGGAAGTATTTAGGAGCAAAGAACATGTTCTGGGGTGCAATGCCACGTTTTTAAATGAGATGAACATTTTCTGAGGTGCGATGAACATTTGCTAAGGTGCGATGAGAGTTTTTAATGCGATGAACATCTTCTAAGGTGTGATTAGTAAGTTTTTAGGTGCAATGAACATGTTTTAAGTTGAGATGAACATGTTCTGAGGTGCATGAGCAAGTTCTCAAGTGTAAAGGACTTGTTCTGAGGTGCGATGAGAAAGTTTTTAGGTGCGATGAGCAAGATTTTTGGTGTGATGAACTTATTCTCAAGTGCGACGAGAAAGATTTCAGGTGCGTTGAGCATGTTCTAGGTGAGATGAACATGTTCTGAAGTGTGATGAACAAGTTTTTAGGTGTGATGAACATGTTCTAAGGTGCGATGAGAAAGTTTTCAAGTGTGAAGAACACGTTCTGAGGTGCGATGAGAAAGTCTTTAGGTGTGATGAACATGTTCTCAGGTGCGATGAGCATATTTTTAGGAGCGATGAAAATGTTCTGAGGTGTGATGAGCAAGTTTTCAGGTGCGATGAATATTTTTAAGTTGTGTTAAACATGTTTTGAGGGGCAGTGAGAAAGATTTCAAGTGCGATGAATATGTTTTGAAGTGCGATTAGCATGCTTTTAGGTGCGATGAACATGTTCTGAGGAGCAATGAGAAAGTTTTCAGGTGTGATCAAATTGTTATGAGGTGCGAAGTGAAAGTTTTGAGGTGCGATGAACATGTTCTGAGGTGCAATGAGCAAGCTTTTAGATGCGATGAAGTAAATATGAGATGTGAAGAACAAGTTTACAAGTGTGGTGAATGTGTTCTGTAGTGCGATGAGAAAGATTTTAGGTGTGATGAACATATTCTCAGGTGCAATGAAATTTTTAAGGTGTGATGAGTAAATTTTTAAGAGTGATGCACATGTTCTGAGGTGTGACGAGCAAGTTTTCAGGTGCAATGAACATTTTCTAAGCTACAATGAACAATTTTTTTGGTGCAATGAGAAAGTTTTCAGGCATGATGAACATGTTTTAAGGTGCGATGAGCAAATTTTTAGGTGCGATGAACATGTGCTGAGGTGCGAAGAGTAAGTTTTCTAGTGCGATGAACATGTTATAAGGTGTGATGAGCAAGTTTTTTAGGAGCAATGAACATATTCTATTGTGTGATGAAAAGCTTTCAGGTGTGATGAACATATTCTGAGGTATGAAGAGAAAGTTTCTAGGTGCAATGAACATGTTTTGAGGTGCGATGAGCAAATATTTTTGTGCGATGAATATGTTCTGAGGTGCAATGAGCAAGACTTTTGGTGCGATGAAGAAGTTATGAGGTGTAGTGAACACGTTTTCATGTGTGATGACCATGTTCTAAGTTAGCATGAGCAACTTTTTAGGTGTGTTGAAAATGTTTTGATGTGTGATGAGCAAGTTTCAGGTGTGATTAACATGTTTGAGGTGCGATAAGCAAGTTTCTAGGCACAAAGAACATGTTTTGAGGTGCAATGAAAATTTGTAGGTGTGATGAGCATGTTTTCAGGTGTGATTAACATGTTCTTAGGTGCGATGAGTGAGTTTGTGGTGCAATGAACATGTTCTGAGTAAGCATGTTTTTAGGCACGATGAACCTGTTCTGAGGTGTGATGAGCATGTTTTCAGGTGCGATGAACAGTTTGTGAGGTGCAATGAGCAAGTTTTTAGGTGCAATGAGCAAGTTTTAGGAGCGAAGAACATGTTCCGAGGTGCATGAGCAAGTTCTCAGGTGTTATGAGCTTGTCCTGAGGTGCGATTAGAAAGTTTTTAGGTGTGATGAGCAAGTTTTTTGGTGTGATGAACATGTTCTGAGGTGCAATGAACAAGTTTTTAGATGGAATGAAGAAAATATGAAATGCGATGAACAAGTGTACAGGTGTGATGAACATGTTCTGTGGGGCGACGAGAAAATTTTTAGGTGCGATGAACATGTTCTGAGGTGTGATGAGATAGATTTCAGGTGCGATGAACTTGTTCTATGGTGTAATATGCAAGGTTTTAGGTGCGATGAACATGTTCTGAGGTGTGATGAGAATGTTTTCAGGTGTGATAAACATGTTCTGAGGTACGATGAGAAAATTTTTAGGTACGATCAACATGTTTACATGTGATGAACATATTCTAAGTTAAGATGAGCAATTTTTAGGTGCGACGAACATGTTTTGTGGTACGATGAACAAGTTTTCAAGTGTGATTACAAGTTCTGAGGTGCAATGATGAACTTGTTTTAGGCGCGATGAACATGTTCTTAGCTGCAATGATGAACTTTTCAAGTAAGAAGAACAAGTACTGAGGTGCGATGAGAAAGTTATTGGGTGTGATTGAGATGTCCTGAGGTGTGATGGGAAAGTATTTAGGTGTGATGAACATGTTCTAAGGTGTGATGAACATGCTCTGAGGTGCGATGGGAAAGCTTTGGTGTGATGAACATGTTCTGAGGTGCGATGAGAAAGATTTTAGGTGTGATGAACATATTTTAAGGTGCGATGAGCAAGGTTTTAGGTGTGTTGAACATGTTCTAAGGTATGATGAAGTTATGAGGTGCGATGAGCATGTTTTCGGGTGTGATGAACATGTTCTGAGGTGCGATGAAAAGGTTTTTAGCTGTGAGGAACATGTTCTGAGGTGCGATGAGAAAGTTTTTAGGTGCAATGAATATGTTCTTAGGTGCGATGAAAAGATTTTAGGTGCGATGAGCAAATTTTTAGGAGCGATGAACATGTTCTGAGGTGCAATGAGCAAGTTTTCAAGCGCGATGAACATTTTCTAAGCTGTGATGAACATGTTCTGAAGAGCATTGAGAAAGATTTCAGGTGCGACGAATATGTTTTGAGATGCGATGAGCAAGTTTTTAAGTGTGATGAATAGGGGTGAATTGAGAAAGTTTTCAGGTGTGATGAACATATTGTGAGGTGCAAAGAGAAAGTTTTTAGGTGGAATAACATGTTATGAGGTGCGATGAGCAAGTTTTTTGGTGCGATGAGAAAGTTTTCAGGCATTGTGAACATGTTTTAAGGTGCGATGAGCAAATTTTTAGGTGTGATGAACATGTGCTGAGGTGCGAAGAGCAAGTTTTCTAGTGCGATGAACATGTTATAAGGTGTGATGAGCAAGTTTCTTAGGAGCAATGAACATATTCTATTGTGTGATTAAAAGTTTTCAGGTGTGATGAACATGTTCCTATCTGCAGATTAGATCAGCCCACTCCGGATCTCATCAGAAAGTTAATCCTATCTACAGATTCGCCCCCTTAAGTGGGTGATCATATCAGCCCAGTTCAAAATGGGCTTTTAGGCCCAATAAGTAATCAGTGCTCAATAAGTTTCCAAACTGCTGCCCAGTTGGGCTTCTTTGTATGGTGTGGGACCCAAGCGTTGATCTCCACATCAGCCACATGGGTTCGGCCCAGCCTTTGTTACAAGGCCTAGCCGAATTCACTGGAAGCCTAGTGAACCCCCTGAGCCCATCACATGGACCCTATGGGCCCAACACTTACACTAAGTGGTCCTTGGGCCAAGCCATCTTATAAAAATCCAGGGACTATGGGCAGATGCAAGATTATCCCATCAGGTATTATCCTAAATGGTCTTACACTTAACCTCTCAGCCCATAATGATCAAGCACTGCCCGACAAGAGAGGACCTCTCCCTCGGCTGCAAGGAACAGTGCTGCACTCTCTACTCACATGGATCCCAGGAATTAAAAGCATTTGCAAACATTTTGAAACCATATGTAAGTATATATCATATATATAGATTTTGCAAAAAAAAATTCCAACGATTGAAATCAACTGCCGGCAGTTTGGTTTCCATCAGAGAGAGTGCATCCCCGATCATTAGCTTTGTCTAACAAAGGGGCTGATCCCGTCACTATGATCATCCACTCAGATGAATTCTCAGACTGTCCCAACATACCCAGGTTTTGACCCCCGCTAAGGATCTCACTGATTGGCATATCAAAGAAAGCCCGATCCGACACCTAGTGTAGTACCATAATCGGATCTAGGGGTCAGGTGTAACTTTCCAGTTTTGCCCATCAATCTCCATGGTCCAGGGCAATACTGGAAATCTGGTCCAAACATGTACTTTATTTACTTACATTAAATATCAAAAGAACATCAAAATCGGTTGAAGCTAAGGGCATACAAAAACTGTCCAACAGCTCCCACTTGCACTTAGGTTCAATCTAGTACAAGTCGGAATCCCATACTTTCTCAAACACCTTCTGTGTGAGTGGCTTAGTTAATGGGTCTGCCACATTATCCGCTGACGCTACCTTCTGAATCAGGATGTCCTCTCTACCAATGATCTCTCGCAGTACATGGTACTTCCTCTCAATGTGCTTTGACATCGAGTGGGCCCGAGGCTCCTTGATAGCTATAAATATAACCATAGCAAGTGCACTAGTTATCAAGTAGTATAAAAATATCGTTCCCACGAGGATTTAACAAAATAATTTTTAGAACTACAGCCTTCCTTTCTTATTTGGACAACCGAAATTCAAATCCCACAATAAGAACTACTAAAAATTAAAAATAGAAAAAGAAAATAAAAGCAAGGGTAATCAATAACTGAATATGCTACAATTGATTGAAATCACTAGGACCATTGGTCTGCCTAACCATTCCAACGAATATTAATGGATGAGATTAACCAAGATAATTTGTCATTCTCATAAGCTGAAGTTTTTCCAATTTTATTTAATATTCTTTCCCAAGATATATTAAACCTACTTCTATCAAGTAACCCCTCGATCCCTCGACTAGAGTTCTCAAAATAGAAATGCATTAAGTGCAAGAAAAACTTGTATATTCTGATGAATCATGTGTATATATCCCTATATACCATTCAATTCACACCATGCATTATGTGGTCTAATATATGAATTCCTCTCCCGATTCATTCATATAAACCTAATCAATTAAGAGATGGCCATTCCTAATCGCATTAAACAAATAACTCATAGACTATATGGAAATTACGATCTTGGATAAATCATAATGATAAAAATATATTCAATATCATGGTTAGGCTTTCCACAACCTTAGCTATAAATAAATCAGTTCATGATGAAGGAAACAAAGCAAACAAGAGGAAAGAAAGAACTCATGATTTTGCCCTTAGAGTTGAGATCTCCTCTTCTTCTTGCCGCCACCTCCTTCTTGAAGCTTTCTTGATGCTGATCTCCTTTTTGAAGCTTTCTTGATGATCTTCTTGATTACTTCAGAGGGAACTTCAGTAATTGATTCCTTCATTGATACCCTAGGCTGGTCCCCCGCCCCCCCCCTTTATATAGCTTTAGGAGGAGGGGCTCTCTCCAACTCCTCTTAGGAGATTATCCTCAAAACTATAAAGTCCTAATTGGTTTTGATCTAATCCTATCTTATCTCTTATCTAGTAATCTTAATCATCTTATCCTTCTAGAATTACATTGAAATTTAAATCTGATAGGACTCTGCATTCTTGAATTCGAGTTGGGCTTCTTTAATAAATTGGGCTGCTGTAAGGCTTTTCTACGAATTTTCTTCGACTTCTGGAATCATCCCAATCATCCCAATCTTCCCGGTTCATCTTGAATCATCCCAATCAGAGTCTGGATGTGACTGAACAATGCTGAAACTGTGCAAAATCATCCGATTAGCCTTGTTTTTCTCCTGACGCCTTCTTTCCTTGCCCTGAAACAAAATACCCGAGTAATGAGTCCAATTAAATGTAAATTAAGTGTAGAAATACTGAATATTCATAGATAAGAATATGATAATTTTTATTCGCATCACTCCTTAGCCTGGGTGATCGCTCCATTGTTGTCACACAACAACGGGATGGGTAATGTGCTGGATGGAACCACTCCTAATTTGTGAACGAACTTCTTCATCCACACGGCTTCTTTGGCAGCTTCACTTGCGGCAATGTACTCGGCTTTGGTTGTGGAGTCTGTCGTGGACCCCTGTTTGCTGCTTTTCCAGCAAACAGCACACGATCCTATCGTGAAAACGTACCTAGATATAGGCTTTCTATCATCTAGATCCGACTGGAAATCCGCATTAGTATACCTCAGAATTTGTAGTGAACTACCATCGAATACCAGACAAAACTCTTTTGTCCTTCGAAGGTATTTGAGTATGTTCTTCACAACAGCCCAATGCTCCTGCCTTGAGTTGGCCTGGAACCTACTTACGACACTCACCGCCTGACCAATGTCAGGGCGAGTGCATAGCATGGCATACTGACAGGTTGTCGAAGCCCTCAAAATTAATACTAGTCCCATAATAAAATATTTGCAGTAAAAGTGGTTCTAGATCAAATCCCACAGGGAGCAAATCAATAATCTCTTAGCCGAATGGGTAATGTAATTGAGTGAGAGAATTTAAATACTGGAATTAAATGAAAAGAAAATAAATAGCAACTTAAACAAACAAGAGAAAATCAGTCTTACCGAATTTTGGTTCAAGGGTTCGGGTTGAATCGATTGGCCATCGATCCT